TTAGTTTCATGTAAACGATTCCTTTATTGAATTAGAAATGTACAGAGATGGTGTTAATCTGCTCCAGTCATATTATGTTCTAATCTATATGCCCCAAAACACTGCAGGATGAATAATTGTGTATGTAGGGATCTAATGCTATAGAGTGTTCCAATGTAGAATATACCACGACTTGTTTCTCCTTTCTATTGCTAGTGGGCCTTTTCTTTTCTCATCTACAAGCAGTGCTGACATGCACCTGAACCTTCTCATGCACATCTCTTGGTTCAGGTGCACTAGAGGGTCTCCTGCTGGCTCCTGGCGTGTGTCCTTCACACGGGGTGCCCTCACACCATCAAACCCACTGGCATTGCTCTCCCTCCATTGTTATCAGCACTTCACCAACATGTAAGCGGGTGTGAGTCTGAGAGAGATGAATTGGTATCTCATTGTAGGCTTTTTCTTATTTTTTATTTTAAAAACTTTTCGACATTCAGTGACCAGAAAGAATTAGTGAATACTTATATATCTCCCCACCTAGATTCTGCCATTGATATTTTCCTGTACTTGTTTTATCACATATTTGATCATATCTATACTGCTACCGATCCATTTTTAAATGTATTTCAAAGAAAAGTATAGATATCTGTATACTTCCCCTAAATACCAGAACATGTATCACTGAGTAGAATTCTGTGTTTAATTTTTAATGTGAAAATACCTATAAAAGTGCACACAGTTTGAGTGTGTACCTGCTTGTTATGACAGATGGATGCCCCTTGTGAGTTATAGCTCTGCTGAGCCCTTCCTGGCCTCCCTTGCCCTTACCACCCCCCAGAGGCAAGGACTGTGCTGGGATTTCCCACCACGTATTCCGTTTGCCTGTTCTGGAACTTCAGGTAGTCATGCAGCACGTGTTCCTTAGAAGAGGAAGCCTCCTCTCATCCAGCATGTTTGGAGGTTTGGCCACATGGCACGGTTCAGTTAACTGCTTCTTCACACTGAGTATTCCCTCTGTAACACACCATCGTTGTCCACTTTTTATTGGTGGGCACCTGGTTTATTTCCACTTTCTGACTATTAAGAATAAAGCACTGTGAGCATTCTTGTGCAAGTCATTCTGTGGCTGCATGTTTGATATCTCTCGGGTAGATCTCTAGGAGTGAGCCTGATGGGCTACAGGGGAGTCTAACTTAATTTAATAAGAAACTGTTGTGCTTCGTCCCAAAATAGTTGCACCCGAACTTCCTGAGAGTGTGGCTGTTCCACATATTTGCCAGCACCTGATGGTGTCACACTTTTTACTAGTACATTCAGCCTTTCTGATGGATGTGTGCCATCTCATGTGGTTTTCATTCTCATTTACCCCAGGTGAATGGGCCCTGTGACTTGGTACCTGAGTAGGCTGCCGGTGGGGTGGTTGGGACAAAGGAGGCAGAGAGATGCCCTGTGTCCACTGTCTTTCATACCCCCACCCACTCCAGTGAGTAGTCAGCTTTTGTTCTGGAAAGAGAAAATGTTTAATAGGGTCCTGAGACACAGGCTGGTGTGGCCAAAAGCTGTGCAAAGTGCCCAGGTCCACTACTCGATCACAGCAAATGCTTCATAGAGTAAACCAGGACGATAAACAGTGGAATCTTGTGAAGCTGTTGTTGCTGTTAATCAAAATGGTGCCTAATTCTCGGTGCCTAATCCTCTCCAGCTCGCCACATGAACTAGCCGGGTGGGTACTCCAAGTCCACTTAATCCAGACCTGTCGCATTTGAATTGCAGTGAAAAGCTTATCTGGTGGGATTTATCTGAATTAGGAAACATTTGTGTTGTGAACGCTGTGGAATATTAAAAGTGGTTAGTCTAAGTAAGGCGGTGGGCTGCTCAAGTCCGGATTTGAACACCCTTCAGAGATGACTCCTGCCTGGTATCACTCCCTGGTAAAGGGGATGGGTTGCTGGACAACCTGCACGGTGAGCTGATGACGTGCCTGGTGCGTAGTCCCGTGAAGATGCCTTGGAAGTGTCTTGGAGTAGCCTGCACACGCAGGGTTTTAAATCAGGAGGTGTCAAAAGGAACAGCACCTTAGGGTTTCTGTGTTTCACAAATGGTTCAGTTGGGGACCTCAGCCATCACTGTGCCTGGTTTTGAAAAATTACTGCCATTGTAAATCCAGGGGAATCAGGACAAAATTCTGATAACTTTATAAATCCAACCTCCCACTGGCCAAGATGCTGAAGGTGGCAGGTTAGAGAACGGAAGGCAATCTTTGCCTTCTCCCCTGCTCCAGACACGTGGGCCAAGAGGAATCCACAGCATTTTAAAGTACAGTAGTACCCCTTATGTGTGAGGGATACGTTTTAAGACTCCTAGTGATGCTTGAAACCATGGAGAATACCAAACCCTATGTATCCTATATTTTTTCCTATCACACATACTTGTGATAGGAAAAAATATAGGATACATAGTTTAATTTCTAAATTAGACTCAGTAAGGGATTAACAACACTAATAAAGTAGAACATATAATCCTATATAATAAAAGCCTAATATGCAAATCGATCGAACGGCAGAATGACCAGTTGCTATGACGTACACTGACCACCAGAGGGCAAATGCTCAACGCAGGAGCTGCCCCCAGCCTGCAGGCCCCAGGCCAGCAAGGCAGGTGCCAGTAGGCGCCCCTCCCCCACTCCCCTACAGAGGGAGGCAACTGGTGGCAGGGGGTGGGGCAGGCAAGCTGGCAACGCCAGGCTGGCCAAGGCAGGTGCCAGCGGGGGCCCCCTAATTGCCCCGCTGGTCAGTACTAATCACCGGCCAGGCATAGGGACCCAACCTGTGTATGAATTTTATGCACTGGGCCTCTGATAATATAATAAAAGCCTAATATGCTAAGTGTCTGACCGTTCATTCGACCATTGATGACATGCACTGCCCATCAGGGGGCAGATGCTCTAACCGGTAGGTTAGCTTGCCGTTGGGGTCCGGCTGATTGGGACTGGGCGAGACGGGCTGGACATGCCCTGCAGCCCTCCCACGATCCCTCCCCAGCCCCAGTCATGCACCAGTGGGGTCACTTGGCCTGACCTGTGCCCTCTTTCAATCCGGGACCCCTCAGGGAATGTCGGAGTGCCAGTTTTGGCCGATCCCCGCAGGCGAGGCTGAGGGACCCCACTGGTGCACGAATCCGTGCACTGGGCCTCTGGTACTGTAATAAAAGTTATGTGTATGTTCCCTCCCCCTCACTCCAGCAATTTTTATATTTCTTAGTCCAAACCTATCCCTGAGTGTGTAAAAACCATTCAGCAACCTTGCAATAAATGGCTTAATGCAGTGGTTGGCAAACTGCGGCTCGGCAAACAGCGGCTCGCGAGCCACACGTGGCTCTTTGGCCCCTTGAGTGTGGCTCTTCCACAAAATACTGGCTCTTCCACAAAATACCGACTTCTGCGCATGGGCCATGAAGTTTCAATCACACTGTACATGTGCACCCACAAGTGGTATTTTGTGGAAGAGCCACACTGAAGGGGCCAAAGAGCCGCATGTGGCTCACGAGCCGCAGTTTGCCGACCATGGTCTTAATGTCGCTAATTTTAGTGGATTTCTTGGTGAAGTCTTTTTATAGGCTCAATGCTTTCTGGCACAACACGGCAACACATTTTCTGTTTATGTCTTCCACCCACAGATTTAGTGCCTTCCATCTTAACTAATTTACATGCTACTGTGGCCTTAACTTTTGCAATTTGAGGTACAACAGCAAAAGTAGCATGACTTTCTTTTTCCTTCTTCACTATTTCATGGTTAGAGACTTTTATTAATGTAGATCTTGACAACCTCAGCATACAGGGTTTTTTAAAATTAAATTGGGAACTTTCACCTTTTCACTTCATGGAAACACAGCTTCTCTTTGCATATCTGAATCGCCAGCGTCAATACTCTTGTGCTTTGGGACATTAAGTAAAGTAAGGGTTACTTGAGCACAAGCAGTGTGATACCATGACAGTCTATTTGATAACCGATTTGATTAGTGACTAAGGAATGGGCAGGGAGTATATACTGAGGACAGGAGTGAGGACAGTGGGGAGAAGGCGGACAAAGGAACAGTTCATGTCCCGGGTGAGACAGTGTGAGGTTTCATCACGCTATTTCATGATGACTTGAAATTTAAAATTTATGAATTGTTTATTTGGGGAGTTTTACATTTAATATTTGGGGCTGTGGTTGACCATGGCAACTGAGACTGGGGAAAGTGAAACTGGGTAGAGGGGACTTGCAGCTCATCCTCCCGTGTCTGGGAGGATGCCTTACATGCGAGTGGGGGCGGGCCTCCTCTTGCTGTCAGCTGTGTTGCTGTTTCTCAGTTCTCAGGACAAGAGGTTTCTGTTCGCACAGCCCCTGGTTTGGGTGTGCTGTGCGGCTGTTTTATTTGACCCTGGAAAAGCAGGTAACTTGAAGCTCACTTTTCATTTTGTTTGAATCTTGACCAGATTGCAGCTACTTTTGTGGAAGCTCCCCTGCCCTTCGGGGATAAAGGTGGGGATGCCCCAGGGAGTGGATAGGAGAAGTAAGGGCTCTTCAGAGTGGAGTTGCTGGGTTCCGACTTCAGGTCTCAGGAGTGCAAGGCCTTTGCTTACCTCAGAGCTATCGCTACCTTTTCCAGGGACCAGACTGCACTGAACGCAGGAGTCTGGGTGGCCTGGGGGTCTGCTCTCATGACAATCAAAATGAGTCCATCTCTGAGTTTCGGACTGTTTGAGGACAGGAGTGTAGAGCTTGTGTGCAGGCTGCAAGGACAGGGCCTGGGGCTGGGGTTGGGGAGGATGGTATGGGTGCCCAGTGCTGGCGTCCGGGTCTCAGACAGACTGAATAATTTCAGAAACAGTGGAGGTTTTTTTCAACTTAATGTTGTAACACCTGATACACACTCTCAGATGTCTTTGGGTCCCATTAATACTGTATTAGGCAGAAATTCGTGGGTAGAGGAGTAAGTTCTGCTCTGTAGAGTGAACACCTGGGTTACTCCTTGTGTGGCATTAACGGCAAGTTTCCTGAGCTGCTTCAAGGCGGAGGCGATCCTCCTTCTGAAGAGGCTGGGCCCTCAGAGTTCTGACTCCCTGGATGGGAGTGTGCCATCTCCAAAAATCCCTGCAGACTCTGTTTCCTCTCCTAGTAGAGTTTAATCCAGTGAAGAGTCTAACTGGGCAGATTAAAAACCAGTGCGGTTTGCATTGATAGAAGCTGTGGCACAGGTGAGCCACAATAAGAGAGTAACACAAGGCAGCTTTTTGTTTCCTTTGAGGACAAGGAGGTTGGGTTTTGGAGGAAGTCACAACACTTCAGGAAAAGAAACTGCTATAAAGGAGGCGTTAGAAACCTGCTGGGGTGTGCAGACCCCTTAACTAGTGAGTTCCAGTCGGAAGGGTGTGGCATCCTTGTCCCCTGGCCACACCCTGGCTTGTCACTGTGGAAGCTGTGGACTTGGTGAGCTAGTAGCCCTTCTTAGGAAGGGTTCTGGCTATTAAGCTTTGAGGGGATGGATTTAAATGTTATAGCATAAAAGGTGTCCCCCACCTCCTTAGACTGGCAATTCTGAGAAGAAATCATTGCTGTCAGCAGAACAGTACATTTAGCGTCGGCAGGTGCAGTGACGACAAGGAGGCTGAGAGAGAATCGGCTGAAGCACAGCTGCTATCTGAGTTTCTAGACAAATACAGATGTCACTGAATTCTCTCACTGTCCCCCCAGCGGGAGAGGCTGCTGGGTGTAGATTTAGTTCCTAAAAACGCTGGGTTTTTTGGTCTGAAAGGGCAAGCATGGAAGTGGTGGTAGTCATTTCCTCTGTGTGAATCTGCTAGAAAAAGAGAAGAATATCTAGTCTCAACAACTGTGTAACATGCAGAAATGGCACCACTTGAATGTGCAGATATTTCCAGAAGGAAAGCAAGAGGCTTGCACCAGTTCTGATTTCCTGAGATCCCAGCTGTTCCCTGTGCGTGACCCATGTTGAACCTCCTTGGTTTGAAGATGTTCAGGTCACCTGTTTTATCCATGGACATTGGATTATTTGTTTTGTTTTCCAAAAGGGGAATAGCTCCCCCCCCCCCCAATAGTAAATATATACTCATTAGTTAAAACTAACAATTTCCTGGCTCTGGCAGCTGAGTGGCTAATGAGCAGCAGCACCCAGCAGCAGTGAGCGCCATTGCTCAGGTCTTGGTTTCTAACACCACCTCCATGAACAAGAGCCAGTGCGCCTTGGAGAAATGGCCCGCTCTAGAACTGGGGCAAGTAATACTCAAGATGAGTCTGGAGCATCTTGTAGTACCAAGGGACTATTTGTAAGAAACCACATTGATGGAGTGTGTCAGAGGGACACAGGAGCCAACTGAAAGAGCTCCCAGTGGCCAGAGCTGGAACCATTTGAGCAATAAAATGAAATGGTATTGGATTATGGCCCACAGTATAATATAGAGAACCATGAGTCCACAGGATTATAAACAAGTGACTGAATAGATAGATGAGGGAAGAGACAAAACTCCTATGCAGAGTTCCACAGAGACTGGGAAACAGGAGGCAGAGCATGACTTCCCTCCTGGTTAGTGGGGGCTTCAGAGGGTGTCCTTCTGAAGAAGACAGTGTGGAGCGCTGGTGTGGGGTGGGGTGGGTCTCTCGACATGGAGAAACCTGACAAATACACCTCAGCCAGGTGTTCAAGGTCCACGCCGGCAGTGATAAGTCATGGTGACAGCATGCACCCGTGAGATGATGTGATGAGAAGGGTGCTGTACCTTTGGGATCCATCCCAATACCCCACACCCCTGTCTGATTGTGGGAAAAACGCCAGATAAATCCTAACAGAGGGACATTTTGCAAAACTGCCAAGGTCATCACAAACAAGGCAAAGTCTAAAAAACCGTCATGTCCCAGAGGAGCCTACGGATTCATGACACTAAAACAAGTGTCCTAGAACAGAAAAGCACGTTAGGGAGACACTGAGGGAATCTGGACAAAGAATTACTTCAGTTAATAGTAGTTTGTCAATATTGGGTCATTAATTGTGACAGATGTGCCACACTAATGTAAAATGTTAACTGTAAGGGAAATTGTGTGTGGAGTATGTGGGAATCCTCAATAAAATCTCCTGATTTTTTTCTGCAAATATAAAGGTATTCTGAAATTAAAATTTTATTAAAAATAGGGAATTTAAAGTACAAATAAAAATAAGTTAATTTACTGAAATCCTTCCACCCAGGATAATATTTGCCAAGTAGCTTTTGAGACACCTTTAGTGTTTAGATAACAGCTGCGGCATGAGGCCTGGTGGACGTTGCTATGTAGAATGAGGTGTCTGGTCTGGCTGGGTAATGGGAGCGATTTGAAGCTTGACTCTGGGTTCCGACAGCTGTTTTAGAAGCTCAGAAAAGTCTTACCTGGGTGGTGGCTGGCTTCTGCTGGAGCATCAATTTGATCCTCGCAGTGCAGCCTGACTCACGTGGTTTGAAGGATGATGGGAACTGAAGATACGCAGGGACTGAAAATGGGAGGATAGCTGTATTGTGATAGCATTACAGTCCCACGGTGGTCTCCTTAGAGCTCCGTCCACTTAAGCAGGATTGCTGCGGAAGCCACAGGAAGCTCCAGTAAGGAAGCATAGAGTGCTTCTAGCATGATTGTGGTCATTAGAAGGCAGGGTTTTAAAATTTGAAATCTATTCTTAGATGTAGGTGGTGCCCTGTTAGTTCTCACACGACTTCCTTTTCCTTTGCAGAGAGTCAAGAAAGATGTGGACAAAGGCACCCAGCATTCAGATATGTTCCTAAAAATGAAGAAAGAGAGGACGAGAAGGTTCGGGTGCTGTGAGAGGACGGGCCTGGGGGTGGTCTGCGTGTCACTGCGAAAGGCAGGGCAGAGAAACGGAAGCCCAGCTGCCCTTCTGGTTGTAGGGTTGATGGCCAGTGGACAGGCCATCCTCATCCCTGAGCAGGCCGGGCCGGACCCTCCATAAATAACCCTAAGTGTCCTCCTGCCTGCCCAGCAGAGGCGGCTGAGGAGTGTTCACCCTCTGGGGAGTTCAGGATGGACTGGCCTGAACACACTATCAAACCATGAACTCCCCTTTGCAGAGAGCAGGAACCACAGCTTTCTAGTCATTTCTCTTGTCCTTGCTCAAGAGCAAGGGACTGATGTTAGAATATAGACTTCTGGACCGCTTAAGGTGGGGTTGACATCTCCAACGTTCACTTTTTAAAGTTCCTTTACAAAAAGCAAGGTTGTGGTTCATTTGTGTGATGCAGGTCTTGTGATGAGAGGACTGGACTAGACCGAAGGGATCCAGCGTGATCAGGGTCTGCTTTATGACCTCTAGTGAGTTACTTCATCTCCCGGGAGCTCTGTTCTGTAAAATGAGGGGTTGTTGTGCAGAATACCTGCATCTCTTTCCCGTGCTAAAATTCTTTAGCCAAGACTTCAGAAATGTTCCTACCCAGGTGCTTCAGGTGCCAGCCACACGCATTGCACGACTGGTGAGGACATCTGCGTTTCCCAGTGGGAGCTAGGTTTAGAGTCATGAAGTAACTTACCCAGTTTACACATCAGTGGACTTGCACTTGAAAGCTGAACTTTGTTCTAGGCTGTGAGACCCCAAGCCTGTGTTTCCCCTGCATCCTGGCCATTAGGCCCTTACCCTACAGTGAGAAGGACATGGGGTATTATGAGCTGGCGCACACTTGTGTGCATGCATCATACTATGTGCTATGTGCAGGGCCCCCTGACCTGTATCCTTTTCTATTTCCTCAAAGCATTAATATGCTGGTGGTGATGAATCGATCTCATGGCCCCTAGTGGGTGCAGCCTGGAGTCACCCCTGGGCTGTGTGCTCATGGAGGACATGTAGGCAGGACACAATGTTTCCCATTTGCTGCTGCTGTTAAGTTTCTTCTTTTTAAAATATATATTTGTTTATTGATTTCAGAGAGGGAGATAGAAAAATCAATTATGCGAATCATCAATTGGCTGCCTCCTGCACGCCCCCTACTGAGGATCAAGCCTGTAACCTGGGCATGTTCATAGGTCGATGCTCAACCATTGAGCAACACCTCTGGGCTGTTAAGTTTCTTTTTAATGTTTGTTGGAGTGAAAATCTTGGTTCTTCTTTCTAGACGTGATGGAAAACTTTCCCCCGCGTTTCACGCTAGGTTACATTTTGAGGCTGATCATAGCAATTAAACACAAGCCAGAGGGAAGAACATAAAGTGGTGTGGCCTGTGGGCATGCAGCCCACAGAGGAGAAAGGGAGGGTGGAGTGAGGGTCCTCCCGGAGGCCTGGGTGCACTGGGTGTGCCAGCCTCCATGCCTGTCTCATCCCTGCCTCCATCCACAGCTGGAAAGAGCTTCTAGGGCGCAGTGTTTGGAGGGTTTGTGAAAAAGACACCCCCGTGCCAACTGAACCTTAAGGAAAAGAATTAAAACTTCGAGTGAGATGTTGAAAATTGTGTTTTGTTTTTCTGCAGAGGGAGGAAAATGAGTGACTTGATGGACTTTTACCCACAGTTCAGCATTTTTTCATCTATCCTAGTCACTGGGGAAGCAGGGACACTTGTGCCATTGGCTGGTTCTTGCTACCCTCCATCCCTACATCTTACCTCCGCTCCTGCTCTCCTGTGACAGGCAGATGGGTGTGGACTCGGATCAACCCTTCAGGCACCAAGCCCACTCCCAGGTCTGGCTTTTCTGTGGCCATGGCCCCAAACAGTCAAACGCTGCTCTTCGGGGGTGTCTGTGATGAGGAAGAGGAGGAGAGCCTGGAGGGCGACTTCCTCAATGACCTGTACTTCTACGATGCCACCAAGAACCGCTGGTTTGCAGGACAGTTGAAGGTAGAGTCGGGCTCTGAAGTGGTTCCATGGTGCATCGTGCACCAGACAGGCAGCTTAACACGGCACCTGGCTCTTGCCTCCACGGGTGATTCTGGGTAGAGGCTGTTGTGGTCTTGTTAGCCAGTTCTGCCTTCCAGGCCTCTAGGTCCCTGACACTCTGTGAGCTGTCACTGTAAGCAGGGAGCCCATCACCTCTGTCTTTGCTGTGGCACCAGTCCCAGTGGTGGGCTCCGTCCCAGTAGTGGGATCCCCAGCAGCTGTGGGCCTCGAGCTGACGAAGTCAGGTCAGCGGCCTCAGGAGTAGGGCTTGAAGGAGGGAGGCAGCACTTTGTGGCCGAGACTCGGCACAGGTAAGTGGCCTCAGTGCCCCTGCTGAGAGGGGTGAGCGTGAGGGCCTGTTCCTGGACTTGCCACCTTCCACGTTCTCTGAGGAGTGACACTGCGTGTGGACTTCAAGGGGCAACCCCAGCAGGTGGATTAGGGTACAGCCCAGTGCCGTTTGCCCAGCACCCAGGGTGGGCGGTGCTCCCCATGCCTCTGGAGCTCACAGCCCTGTGCCGCTGAAGGGGGCTGCTCTCCTTTTTGTCAACAGGGGCCCAAGGCAGAGAAGAGGAAGCGGAGGCGGGGCACAAAAGCAGAGCCTGAGGGAGCCAACGAGCAGGACTGCGGGGAGGCCAGTGCCCAGGCGCCCCGAGAGGTGGTCAGAGAGGTGGTCACAGAGGACGGAACAGTGGTCACCATTAAGCAGATGCTCACAGCCCCAGGCCCGTCAAAACAGCCACAGCCGGATGAGGACGATAGCCCAGAGGAAGCAGGCGGCCCCTTGGTGGAGCCCCGACCCCGCTCCAATGCCATGCTGGCCGTGAAGCATGGCCGACTCTACCTCTTTGGGGGCATGTTTGAGGCCGGTGACCGCCAGGTCACCCTCAGTGACTTCTACTGCCTTGACCTGCATAAAATGGACCAGTGGACGGTGTTGGTGGAGGCGGATCCAGGTGAGCTGTGGTGGGGGAAGCACCTCCTTTGGTTGGGTGAGAGCACTTGGAAGCATCTTGTCGAGTCTGCCCCCAAGTGCCGCCCAGACCTACCCTGTGCCGATGAGCCGGGTGCTCTCTGGCTGCTCATGTGGGAGCAGACCCCGGTCACAGGGAGCGAGGCTGGTTACATTACAGGGACCCCGGCTCACCCTTGACACCATTCACGTGGGCCTCCGAACTGTCCAGGCTTCCCATAGATGCAAAGCAGATTTTGCTTGTGGCGGCTTCCCATCGAGGGCATCCTGCTTTGTGCACATGAGCCTCCAGGCAGCCCCTTCCAGTCTGTGACCTGAACCTTGGGGCCTCATTTACTCTCTGATCCTTCATTCCTCACTTTCACATTGTACCACAGGCTCTCGCTAGTGGTGCATGCTCTTTTCTTAAGTCACTAGTTTCTTTAAGGTCTGAGACTAAAAGTTAAAATCCACACATTTAGGGGAAGGTATAAAACAGCTGGTGTGTAAGATTTTTTTCTGTCTTCTGGTTTGCCAATCTTATTCTCACCATCTCTGCTAAGATCCAGGGAAAACAGCGCATTTTGATATGTTGGGGTGAGGGGCCTTCATTCAGGTCGGGTTTCCTTAGTGAGAAGACGGGTCCTCAGCAGCTCCCAGTCTCGGTTCCCCTCGTCTGGTTGCACTGACCCTCTGTGGGTGTTCATTTTCCTCCAAAGAAACACAGGAGTGGCTGGAGGAGACTGACTCGGAGGACAGCGATGCTGCTGAGGGCGCTGAGGGCGGAGAGGAGGACGAGGAGGACGAGGACAGCAGTGAGGAGGACCAGGGTGAGTATTAACGTTTGACTGCTTTGTAGATATGCTTCAGAGGTGAGCCTAATGTCAGCATAAGAAACATTCAAACCTGTATAGAATTTTTGTGAGTTTATTTGAGCCAAACTGTTAACAATTTCTGGGAAGCAAAATCTCAACCTGTTGAGATAATGCTCCAGAGAATGGCAGTTTTGCACCTTATTTCTTACATTACAATAAAAAAGGAAGGTACAAGTGGTTACATGAAATGCATTGATGATAGATTAGGGAGGGTGGGAGAAAGCAAAGTAGGGAGATCTCTGGGATTGAATAAAAAGTAAAATGGTACATCTTTTAGTTAAAGTGGGTACAGGATATTTAATAGTCAATAATTAACACAATAAAAATAACAAGAGGATTTGTAGTCTCTGCTTTGGTGCATTGGTTGTGCCCTGAGGGGTTTGGAAAAAGGGAAGTTACCCTGACATTCCAAAGGTATGTTATCTTAGATGCAGAGGACATAGACAGACTCAATTATGATAAAGATTAACTTTTGTCAAGGATGATTCTAGCCTAGGACCTGACTACCTGCCATAAATGGCTTTTAGTTAAAAAGTTTTAATTTCAGACCATCCTTTGTGGTTACTTTAGATCTCTGAGTTTGCAGGGCTGCCATGCAGGCCTTCCCTGAGCTTGTCAGGTTAACACGTGGCCCCTTTTCATCCACACTAAGTTTTTTAGAAAATATTTGTATCTGGAGTATGTTTGAGCAGCTTGCTATTTGAGCAGCGTCGTCGTGCAGAATGGCTTCACGGCGTCATTTCTATAAATCCGGGTGCTCCCACAGTCACTCCATCAGGCCGCGAGCAGGTGGCCTACACTGCCTGACCCAGGCCTTCTTCCTCTGCTGAACGTGTTTCTTTATTTTCCTCCTTCCCATGAAAGAGCCACAGCACCCCTTGGTGACGCCTGGTGAGCAGTTTGCAGACTACCTGCCTAGGACTGAGCAGTATTGGGTGAGGCTTGCCCGAGACGATGCTGGGTCAGAAGCAAAGGAGAAGAGAGTGCTGAAGGTAGCCCATGCCATGGCAAAAGCTTTCTTTGATGACTCAGCATGAGCCGCCAGCCTGGGCCAGAAGTTAAACTGAGTGAGGTTGTCTTCCCTCCCCGTCACTGGTGTGATTTAAAATAAACTGGACTTGGAACAAGGCTGCTGCAAAGGTTGTCTTCTGTGCGGCCCTGCATGCACCAAGGTCCTGGTGGGACCTGCCAGGGCAGGGCCAGGCTGAGGGTGGGCCACCCACACCGCAGGCGGCACTTGAATATGGAGTGGCCCCAGGAAGCATGCTCTGATACAGACAGGAACATTTATGCTCTGTGGGCAGGTTTCTCTTCTGCAGAGCTAGGGGATGAACGTTCTGATTGACTGCATATTATCAACCTGGAGATGTGCTTTTTGACTTAACAATTGTCAGGAGTAGCCCTCAGACTGCCTGTATGAGTTTTCTTGTTATTTATAAAACAAAATAGCTGTTGGCTGGGCAGTTCCGCTCCTTCTCTGCCACTGGCTTTTCTTGGGGCTCTCTTAGTGATCAAGTGCACCTGAAGCCTCAGGGACCGATCCCTTAGCCTTGCTGGGGAGGAGGTAGTGGAGCCACCCTCTATCCTTTACCCCTGGGGCTCAAGGTTGTCATTTGCAAAGTGACAGAGAGGAAGGAAAGCCGAGGGCAGTACCAGAGGGCAGTTGCCCCACTGTCCACCCCCATGCAGTTGCTGTGTAGTGCCTGGCCTGGGGGCAGAGGGTCCTCACAGCAGAAGTCCTGGTGTGTTAACATGCTGGCTGGTGCCTGCTCCAGGGTAAGACTAGCAGGAGACTGCTTTTCATTTTTAAATTTGGGGTCAAAAGTTGGGCTTTGAATTACTACCTGGTGCATTTTTTCATCTTAAACATCTGCAACAGTGAGAATGTAGGATCTTAGTTTTTAGTTAAGGGGCCAACATCCCATTCATCCCATACTTTACCTGTTTTTGTTTGTTTGTTTGTTTGTTTGTTTGTTTTTCAAAAGGGAATACCTCCCTCCAGCAGAGCAGGGCGTGGGCCAGGGCTTCAGGGGAAGAACAGGGGCCAACGTAATCCAGCAGCAGCCCCTCCTTCCCCTTGCCTTTACCTTCTCATGACGCTTGTCTCCAG